TTCCTCTCTCTCTCTATATATATATATATATATATTATCTTTTATAAAAAGTATTAAAATTATATATTTTTTGTATGTTTATTATTTCAAAATTAATATACAAAGGAATCATTATTTTGAAATCATAATATGTATATATAGTTACAAATATGTATATGTAGGCGTAAATATTAAATATATTATTAGTAATATTTATATAATACATATAAATATTAATTATAAAATAATATAGTTAGACCTTTTTAAAGGGTTAAAAAGTTGAGTCTTAAAAAAAATCTAAGCATGACCTTTTAAATAAATAGAACAAGTTATACTTTAAGTAAGTTATGTAATAAACTCTTAATAGATTATTTAACCTATTTTCATTCTAATTATTGGTGAAGTTCTTCGTGATGTTTAACTCTTTCATATCTTCTAACAATTGATTTAGTCACCAATTCTATTGCGAACAAAATTCTTTTTAATCAATAATGAGAAAACACACACAAGCTAACACCATGAAGTCACAAAGAGAGAAAATATTCTTATTCAATGTAATTTGGTCTCTCATAAATACATATATAGCATTTCAATGAATATTTATTATCTCATATTTATTTAATGTGATCCGGGTAATTATGTTTATGTCTACAATAACATTTAATATACATATTCTCTTATTTAGGATTGTGATTGTGACTCCCCTATATGAGTTGAGTAATTTTTATCATATCAAGTCTCTAATTATTTAGTTAACTTCTTAACATTATAAGATAAAATAAAATCATAGAATAAAGATAATATTTTAACTATAAACATTATATTTGAATATTTTTTATTCTAAACAATATTTTGAAATATTGAAATTTGAATTATTTTTCTAACAATTTCTCTCTTAATTAAATTTTTAAAATTAATTTTCAACCTTATTATTATGAATGTTAATTACAATCATCTTAAATAATGTTTACAAACTTATAAGTGTTTATCATCTTTACTCCCCAATCTCATATTAACTTATATTGTTGTTATTTACTACCAATTGAACATGTTGGTTACTTTTATATCACCTAAAAAGGTTTTTTGACATAAATTTTTTTACATGAATCTATATCAACTTTCAATACTTGTATGATCAGTCATCAGGCCACACAAACCTAACTTTAATATCACATTTTTGGAACAAAACTCCTTTTTACACACAACCAAAAAAAACACAAAAAAAGTAACATTGTAAATAAGTAGAAAATTGTACAAATTTATCATGATCCGACCTTCAATATTCATGTCTATGTCCACGATAAAACAAGATGTTTTCTCATTTAAAATGGTAAGCACCACCCAAAAAAAAGTGATTTTTCTGGTATTATAAATTTGTTGTTAATTATTTATTGAGCTACATCTTAGAATTATAAGAAGAAACAAAATTATTATAAAATAAAGATAATACTTTAATCATAAACCGCATTCTAATGATAATCTAAAATATTTTTAAATTTAAAGAATACTTTTAAAATGTAAAATTAAATATTTTAAATATTGTCCCAACGTATTAAAACTAATTTTACATTTTTATTATTATGTCACTCATCTTATTTGATATAAAAAAAATGAGAATATCCTTTCTTTATTTTCTCTGCGATAGTATGGTACGATAGATGGATGAAAATGTCAGACATTGGCGTGATGCAATTAACGAGCTTACGGGGATACTGACTTGTAGGGCAGAATGGTGGGTTGGTTCGCTTGGGTGTCTTTAATTGAATTTGAGATAAATTAATATATAATCAGTAAAATGAGTATAATGTAGAAATAAGTTTAGAAGCGTATGTAAAACAAAATAAAAATTGAAAAGGTTAAGTATAAATTCGAATAGTTTCAAGCAAATAACTTATACGGTTGTTCACAATCATACAAGTTTAGGGGCAACAGTTATGACTACACTTAAGCTTAATTCATATCCAAAATCATTTAGGACCAAATAATAGATCAGATTGTGACACGTGTATATAAGTTTAGGGGCAACAGTTATGACTACACTTAAGCTTAATTCATATCCAAAATCATTTAGGACCAAATAATAGATCAGATTGTGACACGTGTATAATTTATATTTTGACTTAAATATACACGTGTCACAATATAATATATTATTATAAATTTAACAGTTTAAATATATTAAATTATCATAACTTTGTCTCCATATAGGTAAATGATCCATTTTCAATCTAAAGTCAGGAGTATTGATTGAAGTCAACAACAATAACAAATTCAACATACATTTATAAACATTTAATGAAATTGTCCCGAGGAAAAGTCTTCTGTACATTGGATTCCACCTCGTGTGGGGACATATAAACTAAATTGTGATAGTGTCTTAAGTGTTAGAATTACATCTTGTGAAAACGTAATTTATGATAATTTTGAAAAGTTTATTGTGATTTTTTTTTATATATAATTTAGGTTACTATTCCGTAGTATAAGCAAAATTTTGGACTATATATTATGATCTAAAAATCTTTTGAGATAAGGATCTTTTTGAAGTTGTGTTAGTAGAATCTTATTCTACTCTGACAATAATTTTTTTAAATAATGTTTGTTGTATATATTATTTGAGTTATTCTGGTAAATAAAGTAATAACTATTGTTGGACATAATCATAACGTAACTTGTACACACATTTACTAAGAGACAAATAAAGTTATCGATAATTTTAATATAAATATTTTTTAGTAAAAGATGTTCATATTTTTTTTTTTATTAACAACGGGGCTAAAACAAGCCCAAACAAGAACTAAAATCCACGAGGGAAAATTACATTAGAAGAATCAACAAATAAAGGAGCCCTCGCCCACGGAGGGGGTGAGCTAAAAATTTGAATCCCATCCAGAAAATCTATACCCCTCTTAGCTAGGGAATCTGCTACCTGGTTGGCCTCACGAAGTATATGGACACACTTCACCTCTAGATTATCTCCTGTCATATTTACTATGACCTCACGAAGTATATAAATATTTTTTAGTAAAAGATGTTCATATTTTTTAGAATACTCTTTATGAATTTGGATTTCCTTGATTATCAATGCACAATAATAAATAAATATTTAATATACATCATTAATCTAAATAAATTATAGTTGACTTGAATGTTAGATGAAAAGTCACTCATTTTTCATGATATAAGCATTGATCAATTTTTGAAAAACTTAAATTTTGTTTCAATTGTAACGACCCGACTGGTCTCTACGCCCGGCATAGCACACTAGAAACACCAGACAGATAGAACAAGTATATGAATATATGATCTAGAATATATAAATATACAAGGTTTCAGTCTGACTAGAGTTAAAGTGTACTAAAGAAAAATACAACTTTAATATTTATTCTCTCATTTATTTT